TGTCGACCGGTTGAACTAGATGGCACATTTGGCGGCGGTGCCAGACACCATCGATGGGGTCGGTACAGCAACGCTATTCGTGGATCGTGTTTTCCGACAACAGGGACTCCCAGAGTCGATTGTCTCTGATTGAGTCCCCCGTTTCACAGGAAAATTTTGGTCGACTATCTTGAAGGTGCTAGGCACCAAGTTGGACATGTCGACAGCGGATCATCCACAGACCGATGGCAAACCGAAAGCGCGAATCGCGTCATCGAAGACGTTCTTCACAGCGTCTACGCTGAGACGCCGAGGCGCTGGAGCGCCATGTTGCCACTCGTAAAGTATGTTCTGAACAATGCAGTGCTTTTGTCTACCAGCTACACACCTTCTACGTGAACGGGCTGGTTCAACCTCGCGTCCCGCTGACGCCGCCATCCCATTAGTGTCCTACGACACGATCGCGATGCGATGGCTGAAAGCCAAGACCTGCAGGAAGATATGCAGATGAAAAAGGAAGAGGCAAAGTGGAAAGCTTTGAGGTCGGAGACCTGGTTTTATCAAGCTCTCAAAACCTGCCTACACATGTATCCGTCATTCCATACGGGAAAAGGAGTGTCAGACTCGTAGACCACCTTCACATCCCCAACGAGGTCACTCGCCACCGTTAGCGTGCGTAAACGTGACACTCGGGCTCATCGAGCCTAAGATTTACATCCCTCGATGCCGCGGAGACACGGTCCGACATGGCACCATGTGCGGTAGATGAAACTGGGCTCTGCCCGTGTGTGCTGTCGGAACTAGCGAGACTTGGAGACTACGGTGTCATTGACACAGGTCTCATTGAGCACGGAAGTCGTTTTGTTCCAACGCAGTGTCTGACGGACACGCAAGCCTCATTGAGGCAATAATCGCTTGGATCTGTAAATGTTTGCAATCTTAATGTGGAAGAGTGTAACGGGGTTACACATACCCTGGTAACAGGGGGGTGGGTCACACCAGATAAACATGGTGTGACCACTCCCAAACAAAAATACGGTACGGGGCTAGATAGCCAGAAGTTATGCATGTATTTAGATTTTACTATACATATTTAGGAAAATCTATGCATTTCAAATTAGGATAAAAAATTAATAAAGTAAATTTTGAATTTTTACCAAAGAGCTAATTGGCCTTGGGCTAAGGCTATAATTACTCTTGGAGTAAGCGGATTGCGATCCGCTAAGCTCGTACTTGTTCTAAGCATAGAACGAAAGGTTGGTGGCCTAACTACGCTTCCTCTAGGCGCAAAGCTACGGCAGCCCTGCTGCAGAGACCCTAAAGATGCGCGTGGAGTAGCGCGTAATTCACTGAGCACTGCTCAGTCGTTGTATGACAAGAGTGGCGTGATCGACCAAAGGCCGAGGTATCAAGGGCGAGACCTTTCTGATGCGCGTGGAGTGGCACGTAATCCACTGGACGGTGGTCACGAAGGTTTTGCTAGAGGCTGGAGACTGGTTCAAATGTTATCAGAGCTCGCAGGTACAAAGACAATTTTGTACCCAAGATCCCTAATTCAAATAATGCAATAGTGAAAAGAATGTCCTCTAATGAATTATTGTCCACCTATCGGGAAGTTATGATGCTTCTATATCAATCGAAATCCGAGGTCATCATTGGTAAAAACAAAGACACATATTGAGGCGAGAAACTTTTTTGGAATAACACAACGAAAGTAGGATCGACGAATACGGTGAAATGTCGATCAATATTTTTGGCTTGAGAATCTCGCTTAGATTACCAACCAACTTGCATCACATCGGATAACATGAGCTGCGAATCATCGCGAAAAGAAATTGCTGAGCGCCCATCGTTACATCATCAACGTTTTAAGAGCATCTGGGACGAGCTTGCACCAAAAGTCAATCCTCCGGTTATTCAAAGTCATAATCAGGTCCGCGCTACATATAACGCTGCGGGACACTTATCTGGCTTGTAATGAAGCCACCGAATTTGGGGAGGATGGTCAGCCATCGAGGCGTAGTAAGAGGTACGTGTGGTGTCTTGACTGCGGTCCAGACCGAGCGTGGTCCGTGTAAGTTAGAAATTGCTGCTCACCAATCAAGTGGCTCGAAGTTGAGCGAGTTTATGCTTCATAGCAAAACGTTCCTTTTTGTAAGCTGGGGAATTCTTCTCGCATAGCTATAATCTGAGAAATAACACTTATCAGTGCGCAGCAGATCGCAAACAAAGACATAAAATGGTTGGTGTAGTTTGGTAGCGATAAGATTGAATTCTTATATTGAGACAGCTTGAATGATCTGGATTCTTGTAGACGCCATTTTATGACTAGTCCATGTTGTTTCGAAGCAATTTTAATAAATTATTCCACTCTTGGCATGCAGCAACTGCTTTGATTCTTGAGCAGTACCCCGTGGATTGCGTGCCACTCCACGTTCAGCTCGCGAGTCATGCTCGGGACACTTGTCCAATACACCTTCAGTGTTCAACAACTCGGAAGACCCGATATCCAGAACATTGACCGTCCCGGTACAGTGCCTGCGCCAATAGCGCTTCTAATTCCTAGCAGAGAAGGGATTATGACTCACCAAAGCTCCACTAGGAGACGTTCGATCAGCGCTCAAGCTCTTCGACCTCCAATCAATCTATGGCTCATGGTGTTCCAACCATGCCATACCAATGATAAGGTCATACCTTGAATCTAAGTCTAAGCCTAAGCAGCATTCCACGCTATCGAAGTCAAAAATCTTGACACCGAGGTCCACAGGGACCCTCGGCACAGTGACATAAGTCCCCGTTGCTAATCGAAAAGTGACGGTGTCACTCAACCGCGCTTCCAGCGTCTCAGTATTCAGCTGACGTCCTTCGATCTGTAGCATCGAGCACAGTTTCGCGACACCCCGGAATCGATAAGAATCTTCTATGGCTTCTCAAAGCCCTTCACGGTCGCTTTTACGACCAGCAAGCCCAGCTTCCTTCACGTTCCGTGTTCAGGAGCACGGAGCTATTCCCTGTTGCCCTCTACCTCTTTGAGGCACAACAGATCTCAGTTCTCTCCAGTAGGGCGCCCGACGCCTACTGTGTTTTGCCGTTTCCCCGCGACAAATTAGACTGGTTAGAAGCGGAATGTCGACTCGACGAACCTTTAAGCGCCTTGCGCAGGGGGCAACCAGTCCGAAGGTGACGAGTGTCTCCACAGACAAAACATCGTCTGGTGTTTAAACGCTGCTCGGTAGCTCGGAGCCATCTCTTCTCTTCTCAGCATAGCTGAGATCCATTGGCTTAGGCCCGCTCGACGAGCTCTGAGGGTGTGCATTCCAACCAAGTATTGCCGGCTAAAAGTTGAATTTGGTATTCAATGCCAAATCCACCGCTTCTTCAAAAGAAGACAGATGCACACGGAAGACTTCCACTCTGGCCATGCCACTGCTGAGGTCTTCCATAAAGACGGTCACTGTGACCGCCTCGGTGAGAGGATCGGCTGCCACCCCGGCAATAACAGTTCTCGACTCTTGCCCGGTCGGACGGCGAGAACACTCGCAAAAGCTGACGCTCCAGCTTCTTCCACGAATGGAACGCCGCTTAAATCGAAGCCCCGCGCGTTAGTGCCCATTTTCGTGCTCGGTCCTTGAGCTTGGAGATAGCTAGCTTCACGCGCTGTTGCTCTTTCTGAAGCATGGCGGGTGCCATAGCCATCTCGGCTTCTCTAACACAGAGCATGAGACTCTCTCCATTCTTACGTTTGAGGTCATAACGCTCACCTTGAGCGGCCTGGATCGGGAGGAGTTACCCGTTGTCGACGTTGGCGTCATTGACGCAGTCAACGCTGACATATTTTGCAGTAGATGCTCTAACAAATAACTTCATTGTTTGTAACGCCGCTGGGCGAGCGCTTATCGCCTCCGGTCTTTGTGAAGAAAGGTGTTGCACGCCCTCAGGGCCAAGCAGAGACACCAGCTTCTTAAGCCCATTCTGCATTCCTGGGATAAATAGGAGAATTGCTCCATCCTCACAGAGGATCGGTCGTAACAATTCAGGCTTAGATTGACTACAAGTGCTATAGAGTGCAGCGGGGCTGTTGTAGCACTTTGCTTAGATGAAGCTAAGCTATAGCCCCCTTACTTTACATACAAGAACCAGTACGAGTGTAGCGGATCAGAATCCGCTACCTCCAAGGGTACTCAGAAACCTCAACACATTCTTCCGTTCAAAATGGGAGCTGTTTTAAATTGGTTTTATTTGCAGCAGAGCCGCCTATATCAAAAACCTTAGGTTATCCCAATTAAAAAGTGACAGTCCTTCCATGGTAGCCAAACCATTGTATGATTACACCAACTTGTGTAATTCAGATCTATGGGGTCATACAGAGGTACGTTTAACCCCGTAATAGCGTAGCACGCTGCCGAATTATCAAGTTAAACGAAAATTTTAAAACTTAGCTCTGTTTCCGTTGCAAGATGGTATCTGTATCAAATTTTCACGTACTTTGTTTTTTAGAGTTGCGCGTTGTACGTCACTGTTGATCGACCTTCTACGGCTTACAACTGGGATTTAAGAAGTCACTCACTGGAAGCTATATTCTATTGACCTTGACATCCTCGAGGTACAATACCTCACATATCCCTCTCGGTAGCCCACCCGTCGGCGATCATTATGAAAGAATATGTTTAACGTTCCACTGGTGTAACTTGGGTACGCAAATTTCAATTTAAAAAATGAAGCAATTGAGTAGCTCAAATTAAAGTGTGCATGCACAAGGTCACGTTGACATTAGCAGTCATTTCATATCTAATCGCTAACTTATACTCAAGATTATCATCAACATTAATCATCGTCAAGTAATCTCAGTTGGGAAGATCCGCTTGCAAACTTCTGTTAAATGACTGTAGAATCAACCAAACGACTTCACTTGGTAATAGATGTAATATTGAGTCGGCTGCATCCTCTGTCAGCTCATTTTTATTCGTTGTCTGATGTTGCCTTCGAAAGATTGGAAACTGCATAGCTTTCTTGAAGGCTCTCTATATCTGCCGAATTTTGTTTTGTTCCACTAAGGATGTTCAACTTGACATTCCCCAGCGACAGCCGTTCGCCTTCGACTTTTGCGTTTCTTCAATTTTATCATTTTTCACTTAAGAAATCCATCAATGAGTACAAAACAAATAACGATATTTAATTGACTGTAATCTGTGGCCTAACATAAATGGCATGTATGACCGGTACGTTCGTTATGTAGCAGATGTTATGAATCAAGGACTTAAGTGGGTATATGGGACGTAATCCGTATCATTGAGCTAACTTCCCTGTCTTGCGCTGACTGCACCGGATATAGCATTCAAAAAAGTTGCTATGGTATATGTGAAACCATCATCCAAATTACTACCACTGAATCTAGTACTGCAACTCCATACAAAAGTATCTGTAACGCTGTTCTATATATTTTTCGGGTTTTCTAAAGATTTTGTCACGAGTACGTTTGATAAATTTAAAGACACGATACGTTCTACATAAATGTTGACTACAGCGCTCTGCATGCACTCGCTAATACTATTTTTTCTATTCCACCACGCTATTGGACAGCGTGCGCTGCGCCATTGATCTGGCATGACACTTCAAGAAATACGTGGTCCGACGATGCGGTATGGGGAAAGGCGGCCGAGCGTTCGTCTTCAGAAAAAGCGCTCAACGGGTACAGGAAAGTGACCGAGCGGTCGTGCTTCTTCAATGGCAAATTTTTAGACGATGCCGCAACATTAGCAGCAGTAATTGGAAAGAGAGCGCCCGTGGTCATACCCTTGCGGATCGTACTCATATCCGCTACAGAGCGTCGAGTCACCTCATTCTTGCCATTTAACACCGTCATCAACACCTGATTTTTCTCCTTCCACAACTTCGTGAGCTTTTCATAAAGGCGCGACGTCATTGGCACAGGCTTGACCGTCGTCTTGACTTGTTCGTCGTCATTTTCAGCGTCACTATGACCAAAGTCATCACTATCCGCGCCAAACCAGGTTGCATCTGCAAGAGCAGGAGCAAATGGTTCGTCGACCGGGTAGACAAACTTTTCAATTAAATCCGTCTCAAAATTTCGGTCACCTTCCTCTAGTTGCTTGGGAGTCGTACACGATCCAGAGTCCGTAACGTCCGAAGCAGCCGACGGCGAAGTCGCTTGGCGAGCACGCGACTTTTTATCCGCATTCACGGCCACTGCTGCAGCAACAGCACTGGCAGCCGAGGCCGTCCAGGATGATACATCTTGAAAATCCTCCCAAGACGTTTTCTCAAGACAGGCTACGATGCGAGATGCAATACTCATTTGTGACAATTCTTTCACTGGTACAGCATGAAACATGGACGAAAAGTTGCTACCATCAGCGACGGTAGCAATCGACTTGTTATGACCACAAAACGTAACAGAGAACATCATGGCCATAACCATAGCCAGGTTCTTTTTTGCAGCGTGAATTTCATGATGTGATTGTGTTTGCGCGTCCACTCTCTGACGCTGCTCTTCTTCAGCCAGTGCAGTCGCCACAGGGTCTTCGCTAATAGAGCTTAGACCATACGCAGTCAAAGGGGACTCATCCAAATCGCAAAGTAAATCTTCGCCCACCATGGCTTCATCCATGTCTTCTAAACACGCCGCCCAATCCACTGCAGTCTCCTCCGCCACCATTGGTGCTTTCTCAAGAAGCACAGGTTCAGTCTTTATCTGTAGCTCGTGATTAAAACTACGTTCTTTGCGACTAAGCTGTTGCTTTAGTTGCTGGCTTTCAACGGCCATGGCTGCCAGTTGCTCTTGAAGAGCTTTTAACTCTTTTTCCTTCGCTTGCAGCTGATCTTCCAGCTGACCTACGTATGCTTTCTTACGCTCGCGATGAAGTTGCGCTGACATGCGGTTGCGAATAAGACGACGTTTCTTTTTAGCCTCCTTAGAGTCTGGATCCAAGTGCTCAAGCTGCGCTTCCATAGCACGCAGTCGCTCCTCGCCGCTAGGGTCTAAAGCAGCTTCAGTTTTAAGTTTCTTGCTTGTCGTACCGTGCCCCACGTCAGTATCTAGTGGCTTCCGCTTATCACGACGTGCATTCACGCGAGCCATGCGCTGAGCCTTACTTGAGTCGGAATCAGACGCGGACGAAGACATGCAAGGGGAGGCTGGTGGCTCTAGTTTAATACGCTGATGTATGTCTAGCCCTCCAGGCAAAGTAGTTGCTGTTGAAGTCGGTAATCGGATCTGGTCCACAGTTTGCTTATTTTCAGTAGCAGACTTACGCGGTTGCGTAGCGGAGTTGTGCCATATAGTGCGAATGAAATCGGTCATCTTCGTGCGTTCTCTTTGTGGTGAGTACGGCAGTGTTCTAAGGAGAGGAGATAAATAGAAATAAGTATTCTTTCTGTACGGTAGGAAGCCGGTCGATTTATTTTCAGACCGAAGGAGGAATAGAAAGATAAGACATACCTTGTTTGTTCTAAATACAATAAAGATCCTGCTAACTTGGTTGGGTGGCTTGCCTTGTCCGACTCCTTTTCCTTTTTGAACACTGGGGTTGGTCGGCGCATGACTTTTGATGGGCACTGTGTAGGAGGGGGGTAAGCATACGAGAAAAACCTTGGTTTGCTACTGATCTTTCATGTACACCACACACACACTGTATGCGCCTTCTGGAATTAAGGTTTTATTTAAGATATCTTTTTACCTGCAAAGATCGCAGTATAGTAGTAAATTAGTTATCCATCTGACGGCACCGAAGCTCATGATGGTCAGCCGAGACTGTGTATCTAGGACATAAATAGCAGTGTTGGTGCTCAGAATTTCTATTCTTCAGTGCAAGACAGTAAGAAGACGAGGGAGGAACAGCTTCACTGCAATCCCATCTCGTCTTTTATATAAAATATTCTTACTGAGATATCTGGGTTGCAGAATGGTTGTCATGTTGTAAGTCTGAGCGGTCGTGCGGTTGTGTATCATATTGCGACCTGGTAACTAACGCCTCAAGCTTCATCCGATTGCTACAGTATGTAAGTACTGTATAGACAACACGATCTTTTCCCACGACAGAGTGACCATATGATGCCCATCACTTATTATTGCAATTGAATTAGATGGATAGCAGCAGGTATGAAAGTTAATAACCACATTGTGCATCATCAAAACACTGAACAGTGTTCCATTTGATGTCAATGGTACTCTTTAGCATCAATCGAATGGTTACATCATTGCTTTAATACTAAGCTCAACTGATAGTATTTATCTTGGAATTAAAAGTAGTGGATCAGCACAGTGCTTCACTGTGGGTTTATCGAGATGACCGCGAGTTTCGCAGAGCGACGCGCACGATGGGAAGTACAATTTTTACCCAGGAAGCGGAACAAGAGCGACGCAGGCTACAGTGTAGGATCGACCGTGTATGCATTACTCGAATGTTGTAGTGTTTGACAGCTAAATTCTCCGCACTAAAAGTTTGTCTTGCCAGGATGTTATGATCTTAATCAGGCTGAGCTCATCGGGCGCGCCGTTTTATTTCAACAGACATTCAAATCCCTTAACTATCTCAACAGTGCAACAATGGACAAGACATTTCTTGCGCGTTCGCTCGTCAATCCAGTGTGGGAAATGATTTGAAGCACATTCTGACGTGCAATCTAATACGCACAGGGAACATTGCTCGAACCAATTTTTTTGATTATAGTACTACCACGACTACGCATAGTAATGAATTCTTCATCGATCGTCTAGTAAACGTTGTTTTTTCTGAGCAAGCATAAACGATAGCTCGTTTTTACGCTGCGCTCGTTTCCTGTCCCATAGAATTGGACCAAATAAAATTGCCCATCGGTTACTTGCGTTCTGAAACGGCTGGTGATTTGAAAAAAACAAGTCAATTTTTTATGTATCACATGTAAGATTGACAGCTCGAATTATACAATGATGTTAGCCAGGGTGCGCCAACTAACGAGTCTTCTTGCATTCGGTGCAAATACTACCACTAACTCAATAAAGCGTATCCATTAAATTTGCTGCGTAATAACCTGGCTTCCAGTCCGATCCTATGACACTAGGAGCACGTGCTTTTGTTGACTAGATACAATTCAATCTTGAGAAGATCAAAGATCATTCATATGCAAAGCGTGACCATAACACGCATATGAGAAGAAATTCGACGGCCATTTTTTACTAGGGGTGAGTTCCTTGTTGTAGGTCCCCCCTGCTATGTTTTTAAGGTTAGTATTATGGTAGTAGCCAATATAGAGAATATTGATGAAGAAATTTCAGGAAGTATTTAATTATCCAAACTAAATTTTGCAGTATATAGCGTATTAGATTTAAGCGGCGTATTCGATGTGTATCTATTTATTCAGCAGTTTCGACATTTCAGCGTTGCGCGGCGAGTGCAATGCAAAATACGTTTGATCGCGTACGAAAAGTGAGGTGAAGTATCAATGTAAACACTGTAACTGTATTTCACAATGCAGGTGAAGGATCTCACCTAAATGTCAGAGGATCCATATTGGTTTTATACTAATGGGATTAGCCAGCTTCTCGAGAGCTAATTTCAAGATACAAACAAAGCATAGATGCGTCAATAGTGGGTAGGTAGAATGGTGACTTTCTAGTGTTAATGTGGTAAGGGGCGAACAAAACGTAGACATCATCATCATAGTATGCGTCAATACTCGAATTCCAAAAGTATACCGGCATGCTGATTTCAACATGTACGTTCAATTCATCATAGTCGAGCCTGCTATTAGAGTACAAATGGAGCTTTATCTATTTGCTGGAGAACTTTAGAAATGTCAGACAAGCTTCGCTCATTGATTGAAACTTCGAAGACCAAAGAAAGAGGTTGAGTAGGTGGTTCAATGATAGTAACTCTTTTTATAATTAATATTCTGTATCACTTCATTGTGCAATATCACAGCTCTTTCGTTTTTTTCGACACTTTCCATCGTCACTCGTCGATTGCTGTGCAAAAAGTGGTGGCGCCGGATCAGTTGTCCCTGCCTTTATTTCTACGCATTCATTTGTTGCAGAGCACCGTTCCAGATCAACGCATCCAATCGACGGCATTGGATCGCTCTTGGAGGCCCAGCACTCTTTGGTCTGGGCACGTACTGCTAGTAGCTGCTCTACAGCTTCGGAAGATGGTAACTCAACATAAACGCATTGCTTTCCTTCCCAGTAAACGTTGACAAGTCTCGTTCCCGACTGCAAATTGAGGACCCAACCGACACAATGCTTTATGTGAAACGTCCTTAGCACTGGGGATGCATTCGTGGAAAGTAATGGCGAATCACCCGGGGCTATGGGTGTACGCGTTCGTGTCAGCTTCATTCGTACAAACCGAGAGCGCGAGGGTGTAGGAGTTGGCAGCGGGTACGGACCCGGTAATTTCAGCACATACGTTGGCAAAAAGTTGCTCACATACAGCACATTCCGTAACGACTCCAATGTGTTATCTGTAAACCTGGCTGAATCGCTCGAGTTCTTCCCTAGAGATACAATACTTTCATTCGACACGCCAAGACCAGAACACACACGTAGAAATACATATCCCGTCATAAAAGCATCGTATCCGGCCTGGTGAGATTGAAGAGATGACTGAGACGAGTCTAGTGGCTTGTCGCCGTGTATGGTTTGTACACTCTGCACATCCGGGCCGTAAAATGGGTGCTTTGACAGCACAGCGAAACAGTTTTCGAGGGAAGTGTGCGTCAGATGTGTAGCGAATGAATCGGTTGTTCGCATTGCTTGATCAACGAGTGTCTTGGTATCGAAAACGCCACCACCTGCACCAATCCAAGCATGTAATTCGTGCTGAAAATCTGCGCAGCGATTGGGTAACGGTTCGTGAAACTTACAAAAGCACTGCATGAGGTCAAGAAGCATGTTGTGGCCTACTATGGGTTTCCGAGCAGCCACAATAATGTCTAGCACGGCGGTGAAGCCAATCAGTCTAAGGTTTCGCTCACGCCTCTCATCGTCTGCAAGTTGTTGGTCAGCAAGCAACAGTGCACGTCGATGGCTTTTGTTACGTGTGACAACAATACGAATGCAGCGTTTCCACGGATTCCGAATGACGATTTCATTGTCAGTATTGTCGACTTGACAATCTATTGCCTCAATGTCGGGAAGGGCTTTACGAAGATGCTGCACCAGCGCGTGTCGAAGGAATGGGGTGAGGGGGTCAGTCACGTAAGCGCCGCATAATTCGTTCGTCCAATCATCGGTAACTGGCTTCATCAAGAATCGCTTCATTTCAGTAACAACGTCCTTGTCCGTTTCAACATGTTCATCTTGAGCTGCTCCCGCCATTACCTCGTCTTCTTCCTCTTTCGAACCGTTTTGAACATCAACCATCTCATCGCTAGTACACATCGTCGTACAAGAGTCCTCTTGACCATTCCCAAGCCGTCCAGCGCGTCCATGGTTCTTTCTCATGCTCTTCGTACTTCCACGCCGTGCTCTACATCGAATCCCGCTATCCAACAATATACTCCCTTCTTCTCCTTTCTCTCGCTGTCTTCCGTGAAATAGTGATATCTTCTGGTTTACTTTCGTCATTAAGTGGTCTAAAAACTCCTGTGTTTCGTCTGTGATGAATGCTCGATGGGATGGATGAAATTTTTGCAATATTTGAGGCCTGACTGGCTGTTCCAGTGCTGATTTGCACGGCTCCTGCTGCTGTTCGTAGTGGGACAGGTGGCCAATTCCTCGGTCGATCCAGGCGTTCAGATCAAACCCATGTGCGCGGATGTACTGTAGACACTTAGTTTGGATCAGAAACCTTCGATCAGGAGAAGCTGTAGCGGTATTACTTTGACCCGAGTCTTTGTCGTAAAAAACCGGAAAGAGTGGGAACTGGAATGTCTCAACGCGGAAGACGCGCGCATCAACGTCCCAATGAAACGCACTGATACCGAACTGCACGAGAGGAAATTGTTGAGCACTTTCACGAAATTGAGCATAGCGCTCGTCGATCGAATTCATGACGCTAGGACGTGGCGTGCTGTTCAAGATACGAGCAGAGAACGTTAGGTTAAAGATGTCACGAACATAGGATAGACGCACTCATGACACGAGATGCCTCCCATCTCAGTATCGATTGCCACAAAAGCACTGCGACGAATCACGCCCTTCAGACGAGCAAGCGCTGCCGCATTCAGCTCGCTACGCACGATCTCCTGCACATGTACATCGACCATAACATGAATTTCATTGGTAGAAATCGCTACTCTAGTTCAAATTTTATGCTAGATTATAGTGCGGATAGCATCGCAAATATTCTGGTGTCACTGTTACTGTCTGTGACGAGGCCACATTGATTCTCAGCGTCGATATTAATGGGAAGCTTTTGCCTTCCTTCCCATAAGCAAGATGATGGTATGACCTTTTGCTTTTTACAATTACTGTAAATGAGAATACATGTGGTTATGATGTCGAAGATAGTGAAACATATAATCAGGGGTGCACCCTGACAGGGTTCTGCAATGCGATTAGCAATGCCAATATTTTATCTGAAAAAAAACTGTATGAATAAAGTTACACCCCTTTGCCAACTCCAATAGAATACTCGATAAATGACTGCAGTTTATGAATCTGAGATCAGCCTGGACATAAGCTACTCATAGCTGTCCATGCGAGAAACAGTGACACGGTAGGTAAAACTCAAGATTTCTTACCACTTGTCTCTGTGCCTTGTTGATCGTCATTGTCAAAGCTGGATTCGCTTGCAAGGATAAATAAAAGAAATTGACGTGAATCGCGGTCAATGACGAACAACACCCTTGGAATCAACACATGCTGAATTTGGTGCTCATCTACCATGATAGTTGCGTTGCGGTGGAACTGCCGTAGCTCTTTGCTTAGAGGAAGCTAAGCTAAGGTATCCGACCATACGTTCTTTCCCAGAACAAGTACGATTGTAGCGGGTCGCATATCCGCTACATCCAAGCACTAAAATCTGAACCAAGGCAGACGAACCTTTCTGTTAAGGATCAAATCTGTGTTAAGTTGTTTCAGTATATGACTATGAGCGAATATATCGTCAGAAGAGGTGTTTTGCGTATGTAAGATCGCCATGTCACCAGACGGTCCAATATTGCTGGTGCACAAGAAAGTTTAAGAAGCATAAGCAGCCAGTCCCACAGCATCCCGCTCGGGGTGTCCACTGAGTAAAAGAGATATTGCCTTCTTTCACCATAATTTGAGTCATTACTTTAATCGAGAGCGCTGTACAAAGTGCAGCCCATCATATTGCATATCCTTAATAAGAATTGACGTTTGCGCCGACATAGTAGCTGAATATCACAAGTTATGGTACTTTACAATTCGTCACTTGCTGTTAGCCTTTTTGATTAAAAAATTGGTGCCGAGTGGGTAGCTTTACTTATTTTCAGCCTCCTACTTTGCAAGAAAGTCGGCATCTATGCCGTTACTGTTCTCTTGGTATAGCCCTTCTATTTGTAATGCTATAACAGGTGCATACTAAGTCAAATTCATGACGATTCTTATTATCTGAGTGTGGCATATATGGTTGGCCTCTTGTGACGGGTCACACGGCACCTTGCACAGAGGAAGCTTGACTTCCAAAAGTATACAAA